CTACCTGTGTGTGTCTTAACATATTAATCGAATAACATCCATCCCAGGCTTTGGAGATGCCACAGTGTACTCCTTCTATCAGGTGTGGAACAGCCTTCATCCTCTCCACACCTGGTCTTTACCTGAAGCTCCTTCTCTAAGACCTCCAATGTCATTATCAGAAATCTCTTGGAACTTGGTCTGCCAAGGGAACTTTCCCTATAGAGATCATTTGATCTTTATAGCTTGTTTCCCAAGCAGTTGAAGATCTTCCCTGTGCAGATGTCCAGAGATAACTGGATGTTTAATGCTTTTTTCTTGCTATTTTCTTAACTTTGAATTTATAGGCTCTGATTACATTTAAATAGAAATAATGTTTCTGACATTTGTAGGATATGAATGAACCTTCCAGCTTTGTGAATGGGGCAGTTCCTTCAGGCTGCAGTGATGCTACTCTGAACCGTCCACCCTACATGCCATGTAAGGAATTTGGGCCTGCTCCTCCTGTGCAGCAGTGTCTGGAGGCAGAACTGAATGCTGGAGTAAATGTTGCCTGGTTCCAAATGCCATTGAGGAGACAGGAACTGAAAATCCATTGTACTTTATTCAGAGGCAGGCAGGATGGGAATGCAGAGGACTAACATTCCCCCAACCAGCCTTCCCCTCTCTAGCTAGCACATTTTAGGAAATGAGTGCTGAGCCAGTCAAAATGTGTACAAGCAGATTCATTTCTACGTAAGGAAATTTCTACTGTGCTCCTGTAATATAAATAATTAACCCTCCCTGTCTATCCATAAGGGGTTACCTGGTCATTAGTGGTAGGTTCTCATAGTTGCTGTGGTTTAATGGGGCTGGAGACAAGGAATGGGAAAGCCCTTTACCCAATTCTGTGTGTAAGATCCAGGAGACATTAGGCAAATTTCTCAAATTCATCTAGATGATTCTCAACAGTATTAATGTCTCTGAAAGCTTCTCAAGTAAAATGTCTTATCTATCCAGTTTTATGAGAATGCATCCACATGCATTTTCTTTGTAACCAATGATTGGAAAAAGTTGCTTCCTGTTATCATGGAGCCAGTTGACTTTAAGGTTCTATTTGTGTTTATGCCTTAATTTCATCAATTATATTTTCCTTGGTGTATAACATATTTCAAAGATCACACAGTTTTCCTAGTGTCAATTTTCTGTAGTAGAGTATACATAGAGAGGCAGAAAGTATTTTAAGCTTCATTGAAGTGGTATAAGAATGATAAATAGTTAGTGTTAGCAGTCCTAGCCAAAGCCTGCTCTGCTGTCAGTGAATGAAAACCCGGGGTTCTGTTGCCTCCTTTACCTTCTTAAGTGAACCAGCAATGGAAATCACATGCAGGCTCCTTGCATCTCAGCTCAGAGCACTGTACTGACTTGACCCTAGGTTGGGGAGAGATATCAAATTAATCTTAAGTTGTGGAGTTAAATCCATTAATAGGAGGTCATGAATGAGAAAAACCGAACTGTTTTTCACTGTCTTAAATCTTCCCTCAGATTTGGAAGCCAGGGACAGGGGCCTGAGCAGCAAGACGCTGTGCATGGAGAGTGAGCAGATTCTTTCAGATGGCTCCCGGTTGCGGCATTATGATGTGCACAGCCTTTATGGGTGGTCCCAGACCAGACCCACCTATGAGTGAGTGACTCTCTCCTCATACTTCCTCTCCTTCTACTTCCTCTACCTCTGTGATGGGTGTTATAGCTCCTCTACTTTTCCATTCATTTCCCCTATCCCCAGGGGTCTGTATAATGTAATTTTAAAACTTGTGTGACAATTCTTATTTGTTAAGCAATCTCGCCTTAATCATGGAGCCAGCTGTGTGAGGCAATCAATAGTCCTCTTGACTGCACCCACAGGCACCCTGAAAGTCATCATGCACTGTAGGCAGTACTGTGGTATCATTGGTGCAAGTGGAAAAGAATAACTGTGGGCTAGAAAGCTCGCCTGTTTGTGTTGGAAGTGAGTTTTCTCTTTAGGTGTTGGTTTTTCTTTGGCTACTCATGTTGGATAGTCAACTGGTGTTTTGTTGAATTAGTTAGGCATACTCACAATGTGAGCCAAAAGAAAAATAATCCTCAAATATAGAATATCAAGTATGAGTAAATAAACAGCCTAATCCTGTGATTGCTTACTCTTTGGGGAGAAGCCAATGAATTGTCACATGGTGAAATACTTTGAAAACAACTGTGCAAAGGCCTTACCGATATTGTTATTACCCCAATTATCCAACTAGACCTCCTCTACAGGGTCATTTCTATATTCTTTCTAGTCACACAAGACATATTTTGTCATGTTGTCTTAAGAGCAAGGGCTCTGGGGGAGGAAGCTCTGTTCTTTTCCTTCCCCTTTCCTGCCTTTAATTTTCTTCCTTGTTTCCCCACCAGAGCTGTGCAGGAGGTGACAGGAGAGAGAGGGGTCGTCATCACCCGCTCCACATTCCCCTCTTCTGGACGCTGGGCAGGACACTGGCTGGGGGACAACACAGCTGCCTGGGACCAGCTGGGGAAATC